TAAGACAAAGTACAGTTTATAAAATCTGAGGTTTTTCACAACAATTCATCTGATCAGCGAGATGGGATATTTGATCCCCTTGTGGGTCACATGGGTCATTTCAGCAGCAGGACCAGATTTAGCTGAACAATATACAAATAGGAATTGAGCAAAAGTAAATAGTCCAAACACTTCTTATTTCATAACAATGCTGATGTTTTTTCATTGAACATTTTTATTTCAGAAGAATTCAGCTTGATTTTGGTCTGAAGAGATTGATTGTATTTTGTAAAAAAAATAGCTTTTTTAGAGAAATCCGAATATATTTGTAATTTGCCAAAATGTAAAATAATAAAATGCAATAACGTGCTTTAACCAGTAGGTGTCCCTTTCTATCAGCTGTGCACCGTTATGGCGTAAATACAGCATATCTACCAATTGGATCAAATATAAAAGTCAGCCGAATTAGTATTGATACTGCAAGGAGACGTATTGTGTGAAAAGAAATGTAAGATGTTGTTTAATTGCTTATATATTTAAGATCCACGTCAAGTTTTCAGTTTTGGCGGCAGTTCCTGTTTGTCTAGAAGTCTTGTCATCAGGGCAGAGTTAACTACGGCAGATATGTCATATTTAATGCAGCCGAAACGTGTATTACAATGCCGTTATGTGATGACTTTCAAAGAGAAAAGCAAGCACACTCGGAATAATGTATTATTTAATTTGTTTATACAGTCTATGGTTGCTACAGAGGATTGTGGGTAATGTCATGTCTTCGGCCATCCAAAACTCATAGAAAACGACTTGTTTCTCAGAATTGAAGGGGAAAACGTGACAAAAGCATTGTACACACACTAAAACCTATCAATGTCGTTTAATTAACAAGGATAATCTGGTGTTTTTGAGTTGATGAGTAGTGGAGATATCACTGTCAAATCAATCGACAGTAAGGGGAATACTTACTTCCGGGTGTACAATTCTCCATTATCCAATGGGAATGGACGCTCACATTGCCTTTAACAGCCTCCGACACAAACAAATGCCGTGCTTCCCTAAGCGTCAAATACCGACGCCGATGGGAATACATTGCAATCAGTTGAAAGCTCTTTGCGTCCGTTTATGAAGCTGAAGGAGCCTCGGCGCGTCACAACTGGACGCCACGGGACCCTGACCAAGCGTCGCTCCTGGACGCTTAGGGAGTGAGAGTGTGTTGTTCACAGATACACTACGCCTACAGTATAGAATTACAATACTCTGTTACAAATAAAAAATCCTGTATCCAAAGTATTGACAGAACATTTGACGGCACCTTCTTATGTCAAAGTAATGACGGTGCAGTAAAATGTTCCCTGTCAGTGTTTCATTTATGTTGTTTCTTGATTATTGTGTATGTTGCATTTTACTGCTGTACATGTTCAAAGTTGCGCTTGTATAAATGATTATAGATGAGGGAACCTGCTCAATATTCAAATATGTGTTTTTTATATATCAGTCAAAAGTTTGGACACCTTCTCATTCAATGGTTTTTGTTTATTTAAATGTGTTTCTACTTTATAGATTAATACTGAAGACATCAAAACTATGAAAGAACACATATGGAATTATCTAGTGAACAAAAAAGTGTTAAAAAATCAAGAATGATTTTTATTTTAGATTCTTCAAAGTAGCCCCCTTTTGCCTCGATGACAGCTTTGCACACTCTTGGCTTCTCTCAGTCAGCTTCATGAGGTCGTCACCTGGAATGGTTTTCAATCAACACGTGTGCCTCATCAAGAGTCAATAGCCGCGTTCACACCGGAGTACTTTCACCGTACTTTTCGCGTTTTAGTTCCGTGAGTACCCCTTATGTCGCGTTCACACCAAAAATCGTACTTAATCTCGTGTACTTTTACCCCCATTTTTAGAGCCGGCTGAGAGAGCGTACTTTCCTGAGGGTGCAAAGTTCCCCAAAAGTGCCCCAGTGCTGATTGGCTGGGCGAATTGCAAACCACGCCCGTACAACTGTGAAAAATGTTGTGTGTCGCGACCCAGGGAATGCACTGAAGCCAGTTCAGTAGCTTTCACTCGACCTGGGAATGTGCACAGCCCCACGGCACACACCGGCTAAAAATAAAGAAACTCGGGCATGACTACAAACGGCGGATTCAGTGGCCAACGATGACGACCACGACGAAGGTAAAATCAACTACATGCACTGGGGTTTTAATCTGCACAATAATGGTCTCAGATGTACTTTTATTTGCTCAGTAGATCAAGCTAGCCATGCTAGGCGGAATAGGCTAACACCGGCCACGAGCTAGCTACATCTAGCTAGCTAGATATTCTCGGCTGTATGAAAACGTTTTGACTTGTGAATAACTGTGTAGTGTTTCTGTAATTTGCTTCACTAACTCATGGCACTAATCGTCTGTTTCAGGCGAGGATGGACAACTCTCGGGATTGGAAACAAGCGAGCTTTGCATTCTAGATCACAGCGCTAGCTCGCCCCCCTTACCAGCAACCAAACGCAAAGGTACACACACTGTAACTTGGTCTTGAAAGAACGTTACGCATCGAGATGGTCCGCCATATTGCACAACTCCGTACGGCAACACAACTAGGACACTTGACACAGTGGCTTTTGGCAAAGCACACAAAGAAAACTAAAAAAACCGAGAGAGATGAGTTATTGTTATTACAACGTGACTTCAGTATTATTTAACAACTATTTTTATTGGCTTCTTTTATGTGGGTTTAAGTACATTGTCAGAATAAGTGAGAAATGGATTTAACTTCTGTTAGACAGCTATATGCCATACTTTTTGCATACATTCACAGTAAATATTTATTCAGTATGATAGCTGTCTAACAGAAGTTAAATCCATGTCTCACTTATTCTAACAATGTACTTAACCCCAAATAAAAGAACCCAATAAAAAGAGTTGTTAAATAATAGTGAAGTCACGTTGTTGTAATAACAATAACTCATCTCTATCAGTTCTTTTTCTGCTTTGCCAAAAGCTGTGTCAAGTGTCCTATTAGAGTTGCCGTATGTAGTTGTCCAATATGGCGGACCATCTCGCACATGCGCAGTACCGATCGGGCAGGTGGACGGATCGGGTCATAGATATATATAAACACTAGATGACTCACCCGCGCTGCTGGCCAATGGAGACCGACGTTGTCACATGGCCGCCATCTTGCTACAGGCAGTGCTCTCATTCATAACATTATGGTTTACTATTTAAATAACCATAGCTTGCTCAATTTTCAACCAATTTTCAAACGGTTTGGTTTTTTATAAACATCAAAGATGTAGTTATGATACTGCATACTTATAATCATGGACTTTCATATGAAAATAACATTAAGCAGATAAAGCAATAGCTATACACACACACACACAAGGTATTTATATTAAATATTTGCCGGTGTATATATTTCCATTTATTTTATTATATTGTTAATATTTAAAATAAATTATAAAATTAAAATATATTTATATTTTATATATAAAAATCGGTCTCATGTTACCACTCTGTAAGCCAAGAGTTGTTAATTTAGCAATGCCTTAGCTTGAAGAACAGGGACACAACTAATGACAATAGCATATGGTGGTATATTATTTAGATATTCACACCTTTATCAGAAGATAAAATTCAAGTGTATGAGTGACATAGAGCAAGTGAGATGGCCAGTGGTTCTCAAACTTTGTACACAGAGTACCACCTCAAATGATATTGGGCTCTCCTAGTAACACCATCATAGACCTTCCTGGGTACCACCTCAAATGATATTGGGCTCTCCTAGTAACACCATCATAGACCTTCCTGGGTACCACCTCAAATGATATTGGGCTCTCCTAGTAACACCATCATAGACCTTCCTGGGTACCACCGAGATAAAGGATTTAATATGACAAGCCATATGATGCTCTCATTTGTTAGTGACATTGCACATGCAAATAAGATAAGATAAGATAAGATGGTACTTTATTGATCCCAATTTGGGAAAACATTTGTAGTTACAGCAGCATAAGGGACAAGGAATTTTATAATAAATTAGAAATAAGCAAGAAAAATAAATAAAATAAATAAAGAGGAAAATAATATACATGTTGAGTTTGGCAGGATATTATATATATCTAATATACATATACATAAATATAAGGCATATGGAATATTAATGTTAAAGGTGGGGTAGGTCATTTTGGAGAAACCAGCTTGAGATCGCTAGAATTTGAAAATACACAGCCGGAGAAAATCTGCCACTTCCTTACAGAGCCCCTCCTCCAACACACACGAACGCGCACATGACCAATGAGGGCACGAGATAAGTTTGTGCACAGATGGAAGGCTGACAGGCAGGTAGGCCATCCAGTTATTTTAGCCGGGCCGGCTCAGATGATTGGTCGTGCTTTTTACAGTACTACAGCTTCCACAGATGATATTTATTTATGGATTTGTTGTCAAAGCACTTCAGATATTCATTGCTATCGGGATGTTAAGAGCATTCCATGGAATATAACAAAAAGTGTATCTCGAGCCGGTTTCTCAAACTTACCTACCCCACCTTTAAATATTGAACAGATTATATATGTGTAAAATGTACAACGTGGTTATATTCAAGAGAAACTATGGAGCAGAGAGTTCTCTTCCAGCCAGAGGTGATTTGTTGTACAGAGTTATGGCAGGGGAGCTGCAGCAGTCTGTTGGAGAAGGAGCTCCGCTGACTGTCCAGCTGCAGGTGGAGAGGATGGGTGGGGTTATCCATGATGGACAACAGCCTGTTCAGTGTCCTCCTCTCCACCACAGCTTCAAAGGGGTCCAGCTTGATGCCGATGACTGACCCAGCTTTCCTGATCAGTTTATTGATCCTGCTGGTGTCACCGGCTCTGATGCTGCCCCCCCAGCAGACCGCAGCAAAGAAGAGTGCACTAGCCACAACAGACCGGTAGAAGATCTCCAGCATCTTGCTGCATACGTTGAAGGATCTCAGCTTCCTCAGAAAATAGAGTCTGCTCATCCCCTTCTTGTGCACAGCGTCAGTGTTGATCCTCCAGTTCAGCCCATTGTCTAAGTGCACTCCCAGGTATTTGTAGTCCTCCACAACAGCCACATCCTCTCCCAGAATGCACAGGGGTAGAGGAGACGTCCTCACCCTCCTGAAATCAATGACCATCTCTCTGGTCTTGGCCACATTCAGAATACTCACAACATTAGGCTGAGGTTCATCTTCCGCTCTTCTTGAAGTGGTTGTGCTTCTTGTTGCTTCCGGCTAAAATAAACATAAAGACATTTTGAGTGTTTAAAATGTGCTGTAATACACAACACATTATTTATTCCTAAACGTGCAGAAAGAAAAACTAAAGTGTGACATTTAATCACATATTTATATATCAATCTTATACACCTTGAATTCTTGTTGGCCAATGATACACATACCCTTTGAAGATGAGCTGGGAAGTTGAATACTGTTGGCACAACACCATCTTTAAGCCGGACAGTCTGCCCCGTCCTGTCAAAGTCCTCACAACTGAAGTGCTCACTGCAGAGCAGTGTCCTGCCTTCTTAGGGCAGCTTCCCACTGCCTCCTCCTCTTTCCGGTTTTGGGAAACCTTAAAAACATATATATCAATTATTGTCAACATTTTCCTCCCTTCTTTCCTTTAACATTAAGGGTAAGGACAAAAATACACACCGAAATTATCATATTTTTGGGGTAATTGTATGTATGTATGTATACTTTAAGAATAAGACAAGCACACTAAGAGTTATAAAAAAGGTGTCCAAAAGAAACATTAAATAATTGTGTAAAGAAATGGTAGCAACATATTCTAAAGAGGCTGGGTCAACAACTATCTTGCAATACTATTATCTCACATAGCCCCACTGATCCTGTGTAGCAGAACTTGTAATGTACATACATCCACTAAGTAATTACGATTATCCTAATTATAGTCATAATATTGTCATATCTTACACGTGAAAGGTGATTCCACGGGTTCTTGTTTCCAGACTGCGGCGATTAGAGCATCCGTAGGCTGCACAAAAGTCAGGCATAGTCGGGTACTTCTGGAACCACAAAGCCAGCAATTTCCTGTATCATAATGTATCTAAATGTAAGATGTTTTTAACAAGCCAAACCACTTGGAAGAAATCATGTGTAACTTAAGTTATGTTGAAAAGAAAGAGCAGTTCTGCCTCTCCCACTGGTGTAAAGTTGCTGGGTCAACTTTGTAATACTAGGGTTGCGGTCGAATAGTCCATTTAGCTTAGGAACCTTCCTAACGGAGTGATTGATTGATTGATTGATTGATTGAAAAGTTTATTAACAGCTTGTATATTGGGTACAGTACAGTACAGCTCAAAACATACAATTGTTAAGGGGATGCAGACCAGAGAAAGACTTTCGTCTTGTTTACATCAGGGTCCCCCATTTCCAAATCATCATATAATTTAAGACATATAAGACATATTTGACATACAGATGGCTTATTTACAATTTTCATTTTAGGTTTCGTTCTAATACATCCTAACCGGACATCTAAGATATACCAAGTCTACAGATATACAGTTAGTAACAGAGTCTAAAATGCGAGTATATACATAGATGGGGGGGGGGAAGCTGTCCATTGTACGACAGGTTGTGAAATGACCCGGAAGTCCCTCAGTGGCAGCCATGATAAGTGCCGTTCGAATTCTCTAAATGAAAGGAAAGGAGGTTTCAAACTTCCTTTATAACCAGGGGTGCACATAACTGGTACGCAGGTACGCATGCGCGGCAACAATCTGAAATGCGTACCGTCACTTGTGTCACAAAGCGCATTTGCGTACCGACGTACTTGTGAAGCTTTTCCAGAAGGCGGTTAGATCACCGGACGACAGAGTCGGTCTCCGTGTGCACAGACAGGGCTGCTGTTAACGTCGGTCTGTACAGCAGCCCTGCGCTGAAACAGCTGATCACAACGTACACACGCTCCGCGGTCACGAAGCTCTGTACTCCACTACCCCCCCCCCCCCCCCCCCCGTTGACAATCGCGAAGCGCTGTTTAAAACGTATGTGGTAAGTTGCCAAAGTGCTTTGTTTTGAACGTTCATCAGTATTATAATAAAAAAGAGAAATATGAACGTTAGTTTTTACTGAAATGATCAAATAAAGTCAACATTTCACAGTCTTTACTGAGCTGTGTGGGGTTTGTTCAACTTTTAAAAGATGTTTGAATGGTGATATACACAGTGATAGATGTTAAGGACTAACGTTTATAATAAATACATTTGTATTGACTTTAAGATCTTTTCATACAATCATACGTATTGGGATCATTTGTATTAATGTGGACCGGTGTTCCGGATTAACTGGTTTCCCGATCAACTGGGGCACAGATGTGAGGGGCGTGGCCTTCGACTGAAATACACATTTCGATCGCTTCTTGTGTCGTTTACATACATCTTTTGGTATATTTGGCTCGGTAGGAAGACTTTGATGCACATTCAGTACCAGTGTGTGAGGTTGTGGTTACGATGGCGATATCCGGACGCGAACAGCGAGGACTACAAAAAAAGAAACGAGTTGACTGGGGATGTCTGTTCAAAACATTGCGAGCTCCAATAAATCATATAAACCAGCTATTGTTGCCAGACTTATTACTGAATATCGTTCTTAATGTGATACCAAGTCCATCTGAGACCTGTGTACACTTCAGACAGCCTCCAAGTGAAGCACACGGTGTTTACTCACAGTTTGAAAGCAGCGTGGAGAAGTCTTCATCTGTGTTAAACTGTGACCCTCCCAGGTAAGCGGCGATCCGCCCAGGTTAAACTGTGGCCCAATCCCAAACCACTCCCTCGACCCTACCCCTCCGTGGCGGAGTGAACTCCGGGTGTTTCTCAATCGCGAGTACGCTTGCTTGGTAGCACATGTCTGCCGAGCATCTTGCTTCAGAAGCGAGTCAAGAATACTTCCTGGCATTCGGAAAATGAAGTGTGGAACACGCTAGCAAGTGTGCAGGTGTGCGTCATATGAGAGGCCCCGCCTCCTTACATCTTCCGCCACAGATTTGGGGAAATTGGTCCGTGCGCAAAGCATTGTGGGGATTTTAAGACCGCGGAGTCTACACATGTGCAGCCTCGATATTTCTCCAAACGGAGTACGCCGGGCTGGGTAGATTTCCAAGTATGCTGGAGATTGGAACAGTACTTCGGCGGCACTCGATGACGTAGTATGCTTGAAATAGTGGCTCTGAAGCAGCTTTACTCGACATTGAGAAACACCCTCCGTCTGTAGCCACACTCGCAGCTCAACGAGGCTCCCTCCTGTCAGATGGAGGGAGTAAATACAGCGGCAAGCTTTGGGACAAACTCCCCTCTTTCCGGCAGAAACAGGAAATGCCGTAACTGTATGTAACAACGGTTTCAAATCAGCATCTCTCGCCAGGCCTGTAGATGGTGCTGTTCTCACTGAATCAGCCCTTGCTAAAACAGAGCTAAACAATTTCAAATTGAGCAAAATGAGGCATGGCTAAAATGCATGATTTGTTTGGTATTTTAAAAAAAAAAAGTATAAATATGCCTTATATGAATATGATTCTGTGTCACCTCACGATGTGAAACGATGTCATGGATGTAGAGAAGAGATAAATAATAAGGTTTTATGAGTGACTTTCGGTGCAGTAAGGTGTAGCATTTTTCGCTCATTGCTAATTCAGAGGCTCAGTGTTAGCATTGTGGGTTTTCTTTTGAAAAAAAATAAAAATGATCAGTTAGATGAGTTTCTCCCCGTTACATGGATATAAAACATTCATAGTTTTATTAAATGAACATGCCCTCAGACACTGTTTCCTGCAAGATGTTGCGGCAGTGCCCCGGTACCGGGGTCTCTCGGGCTTAACAGGTTAATAACTTACTGTCATATAGTATGTTATACCTGTTAACTTTATTCTCTTATTTTTTTATAACTATAATGATCATATAAAGATGTGGCTTTACCTCACTGGTTGGAGAAAAAGCTTCTTATATTCGTTATCAAGTTGTGATCGCTAAATTCACCTTGTTCTATTTCGTATATGGCTTCGCCCTCTAAGGCTATCGCTATTGGGTAATCCCCTGCGCACCCGCGCAGCACTGAAACACTTGTAGTCCACGCCCACCCGCGAGGCTCGGGCTCCCTTCCGGTATAAATAGGAAGGAGGCCCGACAATCTGCTCCCTCTTTTCTTCAGCACCCCGGTTATGAAGCACGGCAGAGACACTAAAGAGTAAAGGCTCTTTTAAGAGCCACCTCGAAAAAGATCCTTAAACATGAGTACACAGGGTTGTGTTAGAGTTTGCTCCTCATGCCAGACGAATCCTGCCTGGGGTCGGAGCACGCGCACGCAGCTCTCGCCCAGCACGTGTCATGTGCTCATTGTCATTGTGCCCGTCTCCCTCTGGCCGACAGACAGCGAAGAGCGGACGCTCTTCGCTACTGCGGCCGAGGAGGATGATTGGCCAGTCCAGGAGTCCTACTCCGTGGACCAGCCTTGAGTTCCTGGATCCGAGTGCTGGGCAGGAGTCGGAGGACTCCTACCCCGCCTCCATCCACGGATGGCCGTGTGGTTACCCCATCCCGTTTCTCCCCCGGACGGCTCTGCCGCTGATAAGCGGGATCCTGCAGGAACTGCCGGAGATCATCGAAAAGGCAGCCGCCTGGAGAGCTCTCATCGTTCCCCCGGCTCAGGAGAGCTCTCTTGCCGGTGGCAGGAGTGTTTCTCCCGGGTACAGACCGCCAGGAGTGACCCGGTCTGGCCGCGCTTCCCGGCCATCCGGAAGTGCCAGGAGGGAGCGGCGGCGGCCCCTAGGAGCCTGAAGGCTCCGGTGTCCTCATACGTCCCCCTCACTAAGGGGTTAACGGATGTTGGTTAACGGATGTTGGTTAACGGATGTTGGTTTCCGACCGCGCCTCCCCTGGAGCCGAACCTGACGGCATTGTTCGGGGTGAAGCAGGCCAGCACGGTCGCCCCACGGCGTCCCTTGCTTTCCTCCCCCGGTGACCAGTTTGTCGTCCGCCAGACTGACCGGATGCATCAGTGTGCCTTCCAGGCGTCTGCAGCGGCGAACAACATCGCTCTGCTGTCTCACTCCATAGTGAGACTATCAGAGCAGCCCTCCATGCCCTCCGAGGCTTCGGAGGAGATAAAGGAAAGTGCTGCTGGATGCTCCAATCAGCCCGGACGGGCTGTTTGGACCCCAGTTCCACGCCATGGTGGAGTCCATGAAAACTGCCGCGGAACAGGGCAGCATGTCAGCTGGCTCCAGCCTGCAGAACATCTCGAGCATGTGCTCGAGATGTTAGTGGAACAACAACATGTTTCAGTACCTCATCATTCAGTCAGTGGAACAACAACATGTTTCAGTACCTCATCATTCAGTCAGTGGTGGAACAACAACATGTTTCAGTACCTTATCATTCAGTCAGTGGTGGAACAACAACATGTTTCAATACCTCATCATTCAGTCAGTGGTGGAACAACAACATGTTGCAGTACCTTATCATTCAGTCAGTGGTGGAACAACAACATGTTTCAGTACCTCATCATTCAGTCAGTGGAACAACAACATGTTTCAGTACCTTATCATTCAGTCAATGGTGGAACAACAACATGTTTCAGTACCTCATCATTCAGTCAGTGGTGGAACAACAACATGTTTCAGTACCTCATCATTCAGTCAGTGGTGGAACAACAACATGTTTCAGTACCTCATCATTCAGTCAGTGGTGGAACAACAACATGTTTCAGTACCTCATCATTCAGTCAGTGGTGGAACAACAACATGTTTCAGTACCTTATTATTCAGTCAGTGGAACAACAACATGTTTCAGTACCTCATCATTCAGTCAGTGGAACAACAACATGTTTCAGTACCTCATCATTCAGTCAGTGGTGGAACAACAACATGTTTCAGTCCATCATCATTCAGTCAGTGGAACAACAACATGTTTCAGTCCCTTATCATTCAGTCAGTGGTGGAACAACAACACTTTTCAGTCCCTCATCATTCAGTCAGTGGAACAACAACATGTTTCAGTCCC